GATAACGACTTGTAATAGCAAAGGTGCGGTATCGAGCTCTTCTTCTTTTTTGGTACCTTGGTAGGTTTCTTCGCTGATGCTTCATCATGAGGATGTAGTTCAGGTAGAAGAGGAGGTAGGCCCAGCATAACATTGACATCGCTTTCGTCTTCGGTGTCGTATTTCAACCCATCGATGTCAGGCATCGGTCTTTCAGGAACTCTAATAGGCGTTGGAGGTGTCCGCGGTACTGAAAACCTAATATGATCTGCCCACACATCTCCGACACCACCTTCAGGCGGTGTATGTGGGATGGCACGTAACATCATCTGATTGCATACCCCCTCCCATCCTATAATATCCAGCGGCGGCGTCAATGGTGCCCCTTGCAAGAGTTCGTCGATGTCGAACTCCAGGGGGTAATGTTCGGAGCTCATTGTGAAAACAACCGCTCTTGAGAGAAAGCTTCGACGCAACGACAACATGTGTAACTGCTTCATGCGTTTTCGAGGCAACAACAAGCATTCGGAAAAGCTTCTAAACTTCTTTTGCCGCTGTCCTCTGTGCTTCGGCTCCTTAGAGGTTTTGTGTTGGGGCATCGACGCAGTTGTTGCATCGTGCCACAAAACTTTGATTAAATTCTACTTTTAATTATCATCACTACGGGGGCGGTTTTTCAATTCTTTTTGGGCCTACCTACGGGTCTTTTAGTTGCGGGGGCTTCGGAACTAACACCGCCCCCGTTATCATCGTCACCACCAAGGCTTAATTCATTGATAGGGGGCATTTCTTCATCAGTCCCGGTATTCCCACCTATATAATAGTGCTCAAGCCTCTCTTTCTTATCCTTACCATCATCGTTATCATCATCACCACCACCACCACCGCCGGCACCACCACCGGCACCCATCGGACCAGCTCCGGTGTTAGATGGAGGAATAGTGATGCGGGACCTATCTAAGGGGATTTGAGATAAGGTGCTGTAGAGGTCGGTCCAAGAGATATTGCCGGAGCTGTCCCCGAAGAGATTAACCAAAACCCCTTCCATAGTCCTAAGTTTTAAGGCCTCCATAGTCTTAATAAGGGTTTTTAACTCGGTTAAACCATTATCCACATCGCCACAAAGCATATCGCACATGTGACCTAACCTTATACTGATATTGTTATTACTCCCTAAAACTCCGACCGCATCAGAAAGCTCTTTATCTCCTACGTTCTTAAATAGCTTCAGGAAAGTCTGAGTGTTAGGGGTTTTTGATGCGGCCAGAGTTTTTTTAAGATCGGCAACGGGATCGTCGAACACAGGGCCCAAATTAGAATTTTCGATACGGGACAATAAAGATTTTAGTTCTTCATCTATAAGGCGGTCCCGTTGCCGTTTATTAGAATACCCACTAACCGGCTTAAAACCACCCTCACCACCTTCGCCCCTGCCCCGTTTCTTCGGGGCCCCGCCTATCTGTTCGATAGAACCCATAGCATTTAAATCCCGATACTTACTAAACCTATCTACCCTATCACCCTCCACGCTATTAAAATTGTCGCCGCGATCAGCTTCACTCTCGTCTTCGGTAGCTTCGTTGCTGCTGTCGTCCAGCATCTCCAGCATAACCTTAGATAAATAGATAAGACATAAGAAATAATACCCATTCAACTAAAACTATGGTTTATAATCAAGAAACCGAGGTCTTTTCTTCGACCTTGTTAGCCTCATCTGTATTCATCTGCACCAGCACGAAGGGGCGGTGTGTCGAAGACGTCTCGAGAGCAGCCTCAGATACAGCTTTATTCGCACTACAACACAACACCCCTACCAAAAATTCAATTAACATCAAGCCGAATTACAAGCTTTCGCATCTGCCCGTCCATGGCACCAAAACGAACGAGCGAAGCGAGCAATCAGCTGTCGATGGCAAAATGCTGCGGACACATACCAAATCGCGCAAGGTTGCAACTTTCGCAATGCACACAATGCAATCTGATAACCGCTTGATGCAAAAAGACATGTTGCAATGTGTTTCATCAGTGCTCTCTGTTTCTCACGGGTGAGACATCATTTGAACGGCATTTTTGCCAGCTGATCAGCCACAACATCAGCTTCGTTAGCGGACCGTTTTTTGTCTTGAGCCTCCACGATCGATACTTGCACGACTTCGAGGCAGTGCGAGATTTCCGCCATCTTTGTCTGCAGGTCCGCTTCCAGTAATTTGAGCTTCTCCAGCTTTCCTTCTTGAACGGTGAGCTGCACCATGGAATATAAGCTGTCGGTGAATGTAGCACCGACAGTATCCATTTCTCAAGGAATGCAAGAACGGGACAGGGGATCGAGGTCTCGAACAGCTAAGGCTACAGACACACCACCTCATCAAATTTCTCAACCTAAAACCTCCACAAAAGATTTAGGGGGAGAATTGCTAGGGGATCGGGCGAGGTGGGGAAGTCAGGAATAGGGATTTTTATAGGGAATATTGGGAAGTATAGGGGGGACCCTTGGTATAAAACGTGTAAGGCGTTTGCGGGTGGGCGCGGGAGTTACATAAGGCTATCCCTAACTGAGTCACGGAGCCGCACAGCAGGCTCTACACTTGACGAGGGTCATGTGAGTGCCACCGATGTTCTGCGAGTCTTCGATGGTCTTCCTTCGGATGCCTTGAAGAGGGGTGCCGATGCACCTCTCCCAACTTCGAAATCTTATGCCACGGGAGCGTATGTTCTTGGTGGTAATGTGGGCCTGAAGGCCAATGCCTCAGCCAACCCGGAGGCGCTCAAAGTCTTTGCAAGGTTTGTGAGACAGCGTGCACCGGGGTTTAAATTTTCTTCAATAAATATATTCGAGGATGTTCGCACTGAGCGCCATCGTGATCAGTGGAATGCCAACTTGCATAACTTGGCGATTGCACTGACTGAATTCTCAGGTGGAGCCATCTTTGTGGAGCATGAAAACGGTCGGGATGTATCCGACCTTAATGGTGCCCGAGGCTCTCGCTTGCAGGTTGCAAAGGGCCCTGTCCGATTCAATGCCAGACACAATTGGCACTACACCGAGGCGTGGCAGGGCCGTAGAGTCTTGCTGGTTGCATTCACAATCCATCATGTCGAATCCCTATGCAAGGAACATCTTGACTTTCTCCGCGAGTGTCATGTTGATGTTCCGGAATGCGCGCCCGAGGGTGCGCGGTTGGTGCCTGCAGAAGTGTGTGCTCGTCAGCCGCCATCCTTGACCTCTACTGCAGCTCAGGAGTCGCTTAGGCCCTTGCCCGCTTCGGTTGTCCCCGCCGTTGGCCCTAAGGAACCTGTGAGCGACCCTGCTAGTCCCTTGAAGCCCGGTTCTGCTCTCTATGTCGAGATAAAATGTGGGTCCGGGCTGCTGCCGGCTCGAGTGCGGCGGGACGGATTCCAAATCATAGCGCTTGAACATTCTCGCCCCGCTGGGCGAGTGCACACTCACCTTGTCCCTGTGGACATTGAAACTGAGTCGGGTTTCTCCTTTGCGCAGACTGTCATCAGCCAAGACGCCCCTTTTCACGTGCATTTCTTTCCTGCGACCAAGGATTGTTTTAAGGCTACTTTTAGCGCCGGGCAAACCATTCGCCTCGCCAAACTCTTGCTTGCATCTGATTCGCATTGGAGTGTCTTGCATCCCCTGGCGTCAGCCCTGTGGAAACAGCTCGACTTGCCCGACAACCTCCATTGCGTAGACTTCTGTGCAGGTTGCTACGGGGCTCCCTGTCCGGTCAAAATGCGTCTGTGCACAACCCAGGCCGCGCTGGCTGGCATGCCGGTGCCAGCATGTCGTTGTCGCCCCGGGCCCCACGCTGCGGGCTCGCTTGCACCAGATGTCTGGTTACACACCCAAATTCTGTGATGTGTTTGCTGGCCTCCTGCAGCTGGCGGTTGGCCAGTCTGGCCTCTTACTTGAGCACGCTGTTCCACTGCAGAGTTCGCGGCATTCTGCCGTCGCAGCCGCTGGGCGGCAGCCTCGATTGTCAAAATTCCAGCCGCAGATCGCCGAGTTTAAGTGCCAGGCCACGGTCCGTGAGTTCCCGTGGCCCCTTCCTTCGGATAATAAAGGCAATCTCACATGTGCCGTAGGGTCCATCCCTCCTGGCTCCCGCCTTCTTCGCGTTGTGTGTGATCGGGGGGTCGTCGGTGCGAAACAGGTCGGAAGCCTGTCAGGTGTGCCTTCAGCAGTTACCTTTGGCATTTACCGCACGGAACAAGAGTTTGTGGCTCAGGCATTGCATATCGATCATCCCTTCGACTTGTGCGTGGCAGTCCCAGACTTCATGTTGAGAGCGTTGGCTTTTACCTTGAAAGAGGGCCCGGTTTGTGTGATGAAACACCGTCTGAATTTGCTCCAGCAGTGGACTTCTTGGAAACGCGATTTGGCTGGTGCCGAAGCAAATCTGCATGCTGCCATGGATCCTGGTGTAGCTTCTGTTATGAAGGGCAAGAACATTTTGCTTTTGGAGAAGATTGCATCGTCTTTCAGTTGGCCTGACACTGAAGTCTTCGAACACCTCAAGCATGGGTTTCCTTTAGTGGGGGAGTCGAGTCCTTCTGGCATCTTCGATGTGGATAGAAAACCGGCTCTGATGACAAGGGCAGAGCTTGTGCAGCATGCCAAATTCCTTAGGCCTGCGCTGTGGGCGAAGGTGGCGAACGCGGAGGTGGATGATTTAGCTCGGGAAGTGTGGGACTCCACACAGCAAGAGATGCTAGCCAAGGAGTGGCTAACCGGGCCTTACTCGTGGGACGAGCTGCAAGCCCGTCATCCAGAAGGCTGGCTTCCAGTGCGGAGGTTCGGCATTGTGCAAAAAGCCAAGACGCGGTCGATAGACGATTTGGCCGAGAACTCTGTAAACTGCGCTTATGCTGTTTCCGATCGGATTTCTTTGAGGGCCCTTGATGAATTGGTCTGGCTTGCGATCACCCTCTTTAAGATCTTCATTGCAAAAGGCGAGGTGAGCATCCCTTTGTCGGACGGTGACCATCTTCGCTTTCCGGTGCATTCTTTCTGGAGGGCCCTGAAACCCGATGCGCTTCAGCCGAGCTTGAAAACAGTGGACTTGAAGAGTGCTTATAAACAGTTGGCGGTTTCTCCACGAGACCGCTGTCTGAGCATAGTGGCCATCAAGGACCCGGTTTCGAGGCTTGCGTTTGGCTTCGAGAGCCGAACCCTTCTGTTTGGGGCCACCTCGTCGGTGGTCTCATTCAATCGCGTTGCAAGATTGCTCCAGAGGGTTCTGATTGCGTTGCAGGTGCTCGCCTGCAACTACTTCGACGATTACCCGGTTTTAGAGGTCTTGCCGCTTTGTAACAACACGCAGTCGACTGTCAGAGCCGCGTTGGACCTGCTGGGTTTCGCCTGGGCAGAAGATAAGGATCTTCCCTTCAGCCATGAGGCCGAACTTCTAGGCGTTCGGGTTGACCTTGGTAGCTTTGGGGTTGTTAAGATTGGGAATAAGCCCGAACGTGCTACTGCCATCGCTGAGGCGGTGGACTCCGTATTGAGTGCGGGCCATCTTGATCCGAAGACTCTGCCGTCTTTGTTCGGTCGCCTCCAGTTTGCCGAGGGTCAGCTGCACGGGCGATTGGGCAGATTGGCACTGGCCGACCTTAGGGCGTGCACGATGAGTTCTCAGGCCAAAGCCCTTGATGCCACGGCTGTGCAGGCCCTTTGTAATCTTAGGTCCCGGGTTCTTGGGGGTACCCCTAGGATAGTCCCGGCCTGTGTGGGGTCTCGCCGTTCTGTGATTTTCACAGATGGAGCGTACGAGCCGACGAATGAAACTCACCCCGCCACTGTCGGAGGAGTCTTGTACCATTTCGACAACGGCGCGTGGTGTACTTTCTTCTTTGCATGTGCTATCCCTTTGAGCGTTGTACAGAGCTGGGAGGCTCTCGGGAAAAGGCATTTGATAGGCCCAGTTGAGATGTATGCAGTGGTATGTGCGAGAGAAGCGTGGGCGAAGCACTTGAACATGCAAAGGGTGACCATGTATGTGGATCACTCCGGAGTGTTGGCCTCTTTGGTGAAAGGCTCTTCAAAAGACCCTTTGTGGAGGCAACTCTTGCTGATCTTTGAGAGCTGCGACGCTGAAGCGATGCTCCCTTGGTTTAGCCGCGTTCCAAGTGCAAGTAACCCGGCCGATCCTCCTTCGAGAGCTAAGTCAATCTTTCCAGTCAGGGGGCAGGTGTGCAGAGTGTCGCCTCGATGCCCGATCAAAGGCAATGCCACGATTGATCTCCTTCTTAAGTGAATGGGGTGTTCGTTGGCGATCCTCGTGTTCGCCATCGATCGGTGCGGGGGTGTCACGACTTCCCCCTTCGGCTTTGCCGGAAGGAAAAAGCGCCACATCTGCTTGAGCAATTTTCTTATTCTTTATATACTTTGAATTTCCCATATAGCTTGGGAATACTGTGATTGGAATCTTACTTTAGAAATAAAGCAAAGCTCCGTGGAAAATAAGCGACACATGAGGCTTGCCTCTACTAGCTTTATTTTCCTAGGAGAGTTTTGAAAATTATTGCGAAGTTTTCAAAACGCCTTTGCTTTATTTTGAACCACATTTCATGGCATGAATGCATGCTTTGAATCGTCTGAGTTCATCTCTTTTATTTCCCGCGCCGCCTCGAGACAGGGGTGGGATGGGTGGGTAGCTGCACCCTGGCCAAAGGGCCGGAAAATTTTGTCCCTCCCTCCACTCCCGGGGTGTTCGTTGGCGATCCTCGGGGTGTTCGTTGGCGATCCTCGTGTTCGCCATCGATCGGTGCGGGGATGTCACGACTTCCCCCTTCGGCTTTGCCGGAAGGAAAAAGCGCCACATCTGCTTGAGCAATTTTCTTATTCTTTATATACTTTGATTTTCCCATATAGTTTGTGAATACTGTGATTGGAATCTTACTTTAGAAATAAAGCAAAGCTCCGTGGAAAATAAATGGGCCGAAAAATGGCTGCGGAAATGGCTGCAGAAGGACACAATGCACAACAACTTCTTATATGTATATATATAGATGTTTATATATTTATATATTTACATATTTATGTATATATATATATATATATATATATATATTTAAGAGCGACAAAATAAACCCATTAAACGTTTTTTACAGAGCTTCTCCGTCGAGAGCATCCGAGGCCAAAAACCGCAGCAAGAAATTCTTTGCATTGGTGGAGGAGGTGTTCTTACCGCCTCGTCTCTTGGAAGCTTTGGCCCAATACCCGCACCAGCTCTCGTCGCGATAGGTCCAATAGTCCCTGAAATTTCCATGCTGCTCCGTCTGGTATTCAAGCATTTCTTCCATTAAATGCACCTTTGGTTTCATCTGCCAAAACGGGAAGGGTGACTGTTCTTGAAGAGTTTGGTAAAGTACGCAAAAGCGACGGCATTCTTCAGCAGCCTTCTCGTGATCGAAAACCTCGTCCACGGCAGATATACGCTTTGCAATTGAAATAGCAAAGCGAACAGACCTGCAACCAAACGCATGGTGCCATCTTCAGGGTACGCCTGCATGAACTCACGGGAAATCTCGAAAGCAAATGGTACGAGGTAACGCTTGGGTTTCTTGCTGGCCCCTTCTCGGCGAATCATCTCCAGGGTGAGATTGTCCAGAACACTAGGAGGGCGAAATTGTTTATAAAAATCCCGGATTCGCTGCCATAGCCGTACCAAACGCTGCTCCTTGTTACTTCCTGGAAAGTAGACATTTGATGTGATCAGGAGCCAAAACAAATTGCCTATGACATCGGCACCGACACCCAGGTCAACGATGTGTAGCCAGTCCAGGACGACACAGCTCAGCACGAAGCCGGGCAGGCTTAAAAGAGGTGACAGGGAACCTCCTGCTGCACGCAGCTCGGTCAGGAAATCAACATCAGACAGTCGATTCCGCCTCCACGCTGCTCCAGAATTGCAGATCCGGAAGCTCAGGGGATTACTCGTGTCCACATTCATGGCACGGCACTTCCAACAAATCGACTCCGAGCTCCAGCTTGGAAATTGGAACAACTGCCGAAGGAACGGCCAATCCCCACGTACCTGCAATAATAAAGCCCGCCCTGCCAACTGATCACCGTGCTTTCGGAAGTATTTTCGCTTCTCCCTGCTTAGCCACCCAGAGCCGTCGGGAAGTTTAGTGCTCACAGCACCCATAAAAAGCATACGCAAACTCCAAGAAATAATGTTCATGATGACGGTCCAGGTTTCAGCCGTTGCGAACTTCTTGGATACTGCCGTGCAGGGCACACGATCTCCGGAGGGCATCGCGAGGAAGTTGAAGCTGATGATTTCCAAGCTTTCTTTCTTTGTGTATGGCACCCCATCCCCATGCAAACCCAGTGCAATGGTCTCTGCCACTTGTAAGCCGAGCTTCCCGCATGCACTCGCAAGGAGCTTTGATGCAGCAGCTCCTGTATGTATATTAAAATATTCCAACCCATTGCCCCGGACCATGCCATCGATCAGCTCATGCGGCAACAAGAATGGGTGCTCCCACTCGACCCTTGCCTTGGTGTCGGGGTCCTGGAAAGGAACCATGTGCCAAAAGAGCTCGTGGGCACTCTCACGAACCAACTTGGCCAGGATATCTCTGGCGAAATTGCCGGGATGACGCCCTCCTGCTCCTGCTTCTGCAAAATCTGCGACTGAAGATGTGGCGGATTGATGTTTTGGCCTCTGAAGTAGCTCCTTCTGCCAACTCAAAAACGTCTTTCGCTGATAACTTGTTGGACAAAAATGTCTCTGTAAGCTTGCTTCGCAATTTTTTCTTGGGGTTTGCATCGGTAGCACTTCCGGAAGGAGCACTAGGAGCACTCTTTGCTCCTGCTGAGCTGGAGCTAGCTGCTTGTCGTACTCGCTTCAAAGTGTGCAACTCCTCGCGATCACCCCTGACACAGGCACTGATGCACAGCAGCTTGGCACAAAGTAGGAAAAGTAACATGATCCTCATCATGGCTCTCGGAAGCACTCCCGAAGCTTTGAAAAAACTGACACACACTCTCTCTCTCTCTCTCTCTCTCTCTCTCTCTCTCTCTCTCTCTCTCTCTCTCTCTCTCTCTCTCTCTCTCTCTCTCTCTCTCTCTCTCTCTCTCTCTCTCTCTGTTAAACATTCTGCCAGGAACAGTAACACAGCTAGTGCAGTACAGTTAATGTACAGGAACAGCCGTCACGCACACGCGACGTGCAGGCTCGAGACCCCAGGACACACCGTGCCCAGGAACAAAAGTGTCCGACAGTCTTTGTGGGTAGGAACCCTTAGTGAAGCCCGTTCTTTAACATGGTAGCGGAGCTGCCTCCAGGAACCTCCTTGGCAGCGATGATGCTACTCGTAGCCATAGGAACCATGATGCTCGGCGCCATGGCAGTTTGCCTCGTTGCCGGATGGAAGCAGATGCGCGCAAATGAGCAGATCACCAAGAAGACAGAGACAGTGCTCAACATGCCCACGCTCAGGATCGCAGTCCGTTCAGGAACAAAGTACCACCGCAGAGGTTGTGGACACCTTCGCAACCACAACGTGACAGCAGGAAACGCGCGAGACTTTGACGCTTGCAGCGATTGCTACCCCGACCGAGTGTTGGTGGAAGAGAGAGAGAAAAGGAACATGAAGTGCTACGGTTTGGCAGCATGTATGGTGCTGCTGGTTGGTTTCGCACTGGGAAGCCTCGCAACTTTGTGCGGGATGATCTTGGTCCCAGGAGCAGGAAGTATAGCGGTGAGACCGTGGCAGGCCCTTGGCAACAACGTGGAGACCAAGGAAGAACTTGCCCTTGGAGACGCCTTACCCTCCAAGGATGTGAGCCGTGGGAGAAAGGAACTCACTTACGTGAGAGTGACGAGAGCGAGCTCATGGCAGTGTGGTCGAGCAGAAGGAAGCCCAATACGCACCGGAACCGCTACAGGAACTACGACGTGTACGGCGAGTACTACCAGCAAGGCTACAACGAGTGCAGCGTGAACCCCGACGGCACCAACGTGAACACGATCAGGAACACGAACGCGTACACGATTAAGGACTATGTGGAGATAGGAAAAGTCATGGTACCGTACGCTTTGTTGTGCATGAACCAAGTGATGAACGAGCTCTACAGCGTCGTTAGCGTGACCGGCGAGTACTACACGGAAGAGAACAGGAACGGCAACCAGAACACCGAGAACCAGGAGAGTGAGAGCCTTGAGTCAGGCTACGCCCCTAGGTACCTAGTAAAACAACAGCGAGAAGTACTGAGGAAATTTGTACAGGAACATGTTCACAGTTTCGTAGAAAAGCTAGCAACCGTAGGAAAGAAGTTTCACGACGTCGTGCATGTGATAGTTCAGGAAGTCATTTCCAACAGAGTTGTATTTCAAGGAATTCGCATAGCAGTGTTCTTAGGAACCCCAATGGGACTGATTACTTGGATCACCCTGTCGTACTATTCTAGTGTGTTTTTCGCAAGAGCAAGCAACTGCTCAAAGCACCAAAGGAAGACAAGAGGAGAAAGGAGAGCACAAGCAGTGTGCAGGAAACAGTGCAAGTCGCTACTTTTAGCAGCACTAGTGTACAGCAACCTTGAAACAGCAAAAGGAATGGAGGATGCATTGAAGGCACTTGCCGAGATCAATGCACAGACCTTACAAGGAATACAAACACTAGCAGAGGAGATCAGGAACTCAGCAGCTTCAGGAAGTCAGAGAGAAGCAGGACTTACACAAGCATTCCAGGAAACCCTGACAGCAGTTCAGGAACAGCAGAAGACAGCGCAAACAGCGTTGGCAGACGCCCACACGAACGCAGCAACGACACTTGAGGAGATAGGAGCATCTCTGGAGAAAGCAGTAAAGGAACAAAGAAAGCCTGGAGAAGTGGAGTTGCACAAGCTGATTAAAAGCCCCGAAGCATTTTCCCCAGGAACATGGCAAGAAGAGAAGAGTGGATGGACAGAGTTCAGGAACAGGATGCGGATCTGGCTTGGAGCAGTGGATTCCAACATGGTGAAGATCATGGACATCGCCGAAAGGAACTTAAAAGATGATAAGCAAGTGAAGATGGCCGAGATGTCTGCAGAAGCAAAGGAAACAAGCAGACGCCTGTACAGTGTTCTTTGTTCATACACTAAAGGAAGGCCGTACCGAGTTGTAAAGCATGTAGCTGAGGAGAACGGTATGGAAGCTTACCGTATGCTACTCAAGGAATATCAACCAACGAATCGTGCGAGATCGTTGGAGTTGTTTCACAACATTCTCAACTACAAATTCGCTCACAACAAAGGAATTGA